TTCACTTTCTTTGTAAACTTTTCTCTCTCTGACAGATATAACCGTAGTGACTATGACTCCACTGCCTGAACCCACCGCCATCAACCCAGGTATATAACATAATCCCAAATGAAACCTCAGCTTGCCTTAAGTTAAAAAAAACCCAGTGTTATCAGCAAAATGTAGTTTTATTTATTACATTTTGGTCAATTTACATCCTCTTAAAGTATCTGTATTTGCCACTGACAGGCTCCGGTTGTTATTCTAAGTGTAAGGATCCCTACAGAGGTAGATCCTTTTTTTTTTTTTTAAAGATCCTTTTTGTTTAACGAGGAACAGCCCCGAAATAGCTATCGCCAAACCCACCAGACTCCATTTAAAAAAACAGTAATTTTAGCGTGTATAGAGTCAGCATATTTTCACATCTAACTGGGTGAATTAAGGGTTTATTTCAACCAAACCAGCTGGTGATTGTTGGAACAGTGGAGAGACGAACAAAGATAGTTTTTGCGAGTTTTATTTTGCTTAGTGTCAACTTTGAATTAAATGTGTTTTATGATGATAAAATTACTGTTTATTTAAATGGAGTCTGGTGGGCTTGGCCTCAGTGGTTTCCAGACTGTTTCTGGTTAAACAAAACACAATCTTATTCTTTAACAAGAACGTCTGTAGCTGTGTCTCAATTCAGGGGTTGCAGCCTTCAAAGGGCACGGCCTTTGCGGTCGACGTCGGTCACGTCCTTGGAAGACCGCATCAGCCAAACTGAACGGTCTCCGAAATGGGATAGTCTGGTCTGCTTAGGATTTCCTGGTTGCATCACCAGTTGTTCTCACCCCGACCTGTTGGTGTTCCTGTTACCTAGCAACCAGCTGCACTTGACGAAAGAAGGAGTAAGCTAGTAATTTAGTTAGCCCTAAATCATGTACCAGAGATTGTTATTATTATATATACTATATTTTTATTTAATACTTGAGGAGATGATTCACCGCTGGAGACACTGCCGTTTGATGGAGGACCATTTTCAGGTGAACTTATTAAATTAAGATTGGTTAAGCTGTGTGCTTTTAGCTTATAGTAATGGTAACAACAGTTAAAGGAGCTAAATGTAAAAAATCTAAAGCAAATAGTCATAAAATCCTCCTAATATGTCACAGAGACTAAGGAATAATGTTCATATAACATACTGATCTCACCGACAACAATAGTACAGCCAGAATATTCGCATTTAAAAAATTTTTTTACAGTCTGCAAATCATGTTTATGTTTTGAATTTGTGTTTTAGCCTATTGCGTCACCCACCGCCGTCTACCAGTCACGCAGTCAGTAGAGTCTCAGTGTCCAGGTTGCCAGTAGTGACGACTGAGCTACAATGGCTGACGGTGCGACTAAACCCAAACGACCTCGTTATGATTCCCAAAAAACACCAAGACAAAACTTGAGGCAAATTGAGGGTCTATACAGGTGATGCTTTTGAACGGTGGAGACAGTTGAAAGCGGAGAAGAATTTGAAATCGGATGTCAAAGTGGCTACTCTTCTCGACAGGTAAGCTTTAGCCAAAGTTGGCTAACTAGCATCATAGCTAGATGGGGATGGACATTTTGAATACTTTCAACTGTTACTCATTTTCGATCATACATTGTAGCCCATGGGAAGGTGGGTCATCGACCTGACTGATTTTTGTGAGAAACAAATGTTAGCAGCACGGCAAGCAGCATTAGCAGTGTCCCGGTACATAGCATTAGCGGCCCTCCTCCTCCGCTGTATCCCAGCAGCAGCGTTAGCAGCAGAGAAGCCAGTGTCGGGCGGACACGACTCGCAGCAGTATTTTGAATTTGAGTGCAGTAACCGCTTTGGCCACATTCTTACATACGGCGCCTTTAACCATTAGCTAGTTAACAACTGTTAACTTAACATATAATCATCACAGACGCGCCATGCATCTTGGGATAGGCTGGGCCACAAAGGATTCATCTGCTGCGTCCTCCAAATTCTGGGAAAGAAGGCTGCATTTCTCAGCTGCATTTAAAGGAGCCTTCGAAATGGGACGGCCTTGGTCCCTCCCATGTGATGCAATCGGTCTTCAAATGCAGCCATCGAAAGCTGCAGCCCCTGAATTGAGACATAGCTTATCTCTGTAGGGATCCTTTCTATAATCTTGTCAGACACTAAGAATAATGATCTGAGCCTGTCAGTGGCAAAAACAAGCACTTTAAATGGATGTAAATTGCCAGTGCTCGATTGCCCCCAGGGATTTAATTGCAGCCTTTTTTGCTGCTGCTGGCTGCAGCGCTCTCGCTCAATACTGGACTATTTTCAAAAACCGTTGTTCCCATCAGTCACTTCGACACAGAAACACAAGAAATAGGTTGACAAACACCAAAGTTACCCTTTAAGCATCAATAAATGTTTCATTAACTGTTAATAATGGTTAATAAAATGATGTCACTTTTTTCCCCAGCTGGGCAGAGAAGGACCACAGTGAAGATGAAGTTACTGACTGACTCTGACCTCACAGATCCAACCATCAGACAGAAAGTCTTGCAGCAGGTACAGTAAGCAGCTGTGTTTGGGTTGCTTTGAGATAACTGTATTGATCCACTCATAGCACCATGTCTGTTTTTTTTTTTCAGTTTGAGGCAGCTCTGAACTTTCAGGGCTTCACTGATATCAAGTTGCACTGGAGGACTATAAAGTCAGAGCCACAACCAACGGAGGCAGGTAATGACTCTGAAAAATAAACTGACCTAATAAATTACCAGTACAGGCACGCTGGCATTTACAGCTGATTAGATGCAGATACATTTTAGGATTGTTTTCTCAGTTTGAAAAGGTCCTGATTCATCTGCTGTGTCTTTTACCAACAGATGTTTGTGGAGAGGATATAAAGTAAAACCTCACTGACACTTTTAACCCTCAAATCAAACTAGTGGGAAGACTTGAGCACTACATTTGGAGGATAATTTCTAAACGATCTGCAATTGTTGTTTTGCTTTTGTTGATTTGTTTGAAGTATCTACCTCAAAAAATTCCCTGAAATGGAACGTGTGTCTGAAGCAGTATCCTGACAGCAGTACATATTAGTTTAGTTTTTTTGTCATAAAGTCTTGAGAAAATCTCTGAAAAGAAATTTATATAGGAACAGAATTCTGCAGTAAATTGTGTTGTAATCAATAAAGAAATAAAAATAATGAATATAAAACACTGAGAAATATATATTTTTTCAATTAAAATGAGTGGTCAGTGAGCCAGTGTGTGTTGGTTTGCACTTGTCAAAGTGCTCACCCATTAATTTGCGTAAAATTATTTTGACATACGCGTGCAAATTTGCTTAATCAAATGAATGAACCAAATAGTAGCCCCCAAGCAGCAAAGTCAGTGTCAAGGACATCCAGCTGAGAAAATCCTACCTGCTCAGCCTTAAAGTTAAGTTAAGGATCTGTCAGTTTGAATGATCTGTTACACTTTACTTGAAGGTATCTACATAAGAGTGACATGACACTGTCATAACTATGACATGACATTGTCATGAACCTGTCATGAACATTATGTACATGTCATAAACGTTTATTACTGCTGTCATTAAGTGTCATTCGGTTTCTGTAATGACAAGTTGACATTGTTTGGGTTGTCTTGATTATGACAACTTGACATTAATCAAAGTGACATTACCAGAAGTTGTCTTTGTCATGACAAGTTGACATTAAAAAGAAATGCACCTCTTTTTGTGTTTATGACAAGTTGACATAATGATTGATACAAAGACATCTTCTGGTAATGTCATCCTGGTTAATGTCAACTTGTCATGACAAAAACCGAATGACACTTAATGACAGCAGTCATAAACGTTTATGACATGTTCATGACATTGTCATGTCACCCTTATGTAGATACCTTCAAGTAAAGTGTTACCGAATGATCTTTATACAGACATACTACACATAGAGTAGAAGTCTGACAACTTCTACTACCTCTGTCACTGTAGCCTAACTTTCAAAGGATCATTATCTTACTATATAATGACGATAACTCTGTCTGTGGGTGTGTCTGTGTCTCTGTTCCACGTTTTTCTCCTCACTGTCTTGGTCAATCCATGTGAGATTTGGCACACTGGTAGAGGGCCATGGGAGGATGAGAATGAAGCAATATTACATCAATTGGCCAAATAGGGGCGCTATAGCAACCCATTGAAATTGCAAACTTTGAATGGGCATATCTCATGCCCCGTATGTCGTAGAGACATGAAACTTTGCACAGAGACGCCTCTCCTCATGAGGAACAAAAAGCCTCAAGAACCCATAACTTACGGTTATATAGATTTTCCGCCATTTTGAATTTTTTGAAAAACACTTCAAATCGATCTCTTCCTAGGAAGTTTGACCGATCTGCATGAAACTGGGTGAACATAATCTAGGGACCAATATCTAAAGTTCCCTCTTGGCAAAAGTTGGAAAACTTACTAAAACTGAGCTTCTATAAGGCAATGAATATTGCGGAGGCTCATCACATAAAGGTGTATAACATCTCAAGGGTTTCACCGATCACCACGCAACTTTGTAGGCATATGACCACACATAATCTGAGGGGACCCCTCCATTATTGACCCCATCAAACAAAATGGGGGCGCTAGAGAGCTAATGTCTTATCTAGGCCTAACTGCCATATCTATTTTTACTAAACTTGGTAGATATGTAGAACAGGACGCCTCAAGGTGACTGGAGAAATTTAACTCTAATTGGCAACTGGGTGGCGCTATAACAACAGAAAAATGCTTAAAAATGGCTAAAATGCGACTGATCGCTGTGGCGCCCCCTGTGGACCAATGTTGTTGTTTTCTAATTTTTGGTATGACTAAGTCATGGTATGGTATGCTGTACATAATCACGGAAACTGTCAGTGTGTCATTCTGTCAGTCAGTCATTCTGTCTGTCCCACATTTTTCTACTCACTGACGTGGTCAAACTATGTGAAACTGCACACAGGCATTGAGGATTGGCATAGGTAGAAGGTGACAAAGCTACCAATGGGTATGGACTAGTTGTATTAATTTAAAGACACAGCTAGGAAAGTAAAATATGTGGCTGTTTCTGCTTTTACTCTTCCTCCATGCAGTATTATAAGACTTGTCTTAATTGAAGAAAAGACGCTAATAAAATTTCGCTAATTCTGTAATAAACATATTTTAATCCCTATAGAGTTTAAAAAATAAAAGTCCCCTGTTATTTTGTTATGTATAAACTTTTATTGTGAAGCAGCAAAATAAGGAAGTGTTGAGTTTTCATCAGCAGCAACCTCATACAACTAATTCATAACTAATACGACGGACAGCGAACATGTAACAGTAAAATAAAGCAGATAACTAAAGTAAAAACAGGACGCAGGAGAGAAACTAAACTCCAAACCACAGAGATTCAGTTAGAGGCTACAAAAGTACTGAGAGCTGAACACACAGAGACTTTTAAAAACACATTTCTCTCTGGTCTCCTGCAGACAGAGGGAGGAGAGTCTCAATCACACACGCTTGTTTGGGGGGTCGTTGGGGCTTGGCTACGTTCAGCGAGACATCACCGCTTTCCGCTTGAGGGCAGCTTTTGGACCTACTCTGGAGAAGATCCATTTTGGCTTCACTCTGTTATGTTCTGTTTTGTAGCAGAGCAGATGAATTTTTCCACGTTATCCAATGACTTTTCAACAGACTAGACAATGCAAGACAAGCTGCAGCCCCCTGCAGCCAATACTACCATTTTATTTTGAAGAGGCTCTTGTGTCTGCATCAAAAGGCCCTTTTCAACCGCAGGAACTTTCTCTAGAAACAAATATTTTTAGGAGGTAATTGCATTTCAACTGCAGGTACCAGTGTCCAAATGAAGTTCTGGGGACATTTCTGATTGGTCAAGTGCTCGCAGCAAAGATTCCCAGGACAGCATCAAGTCTCATTTTTAAAATATCTTGGCTGAAGGATGCATTTAGCTCCTTAAAGAGTAGCTTCTGTCACAGTTTTAAACACACACTTGATATGGACACCAGTCAGCAGTCAGGAGATGCCAAATCTTCTGATTCACCAGAGTCACACTCATGTGTGTTATGATCTAAATGTGGTTTGCATTTATTTGTGTGTAGCCCAATTCAAATGGACATCACAGGAAGGGTATAGGCTAATTTACATGCACATCACAGGGTGGATAAGGGACACAGGATGTCAGCAACTTCGGCAGTTTTGTGAACCAAAGTCTGGACATCGTGAACGCACATTTTGAATTTAAGATAATTTAAGTTTTACAACATTCTCTGTGTTACACCGTAAATGAAACACTTTTTAAAGACCATGAAGTGGAGCTGGAAATTCTTTTTTATTTGGGGTAAGTCATATAGTATTATGTTATACATTTAAATAAGTGGATTTTTTTGGGTCATTGTTTAAATTGTTGAAAATTGCTTCCAAAGTAACTGAGAACGCTCTATGCAGGGTTCAGTATATTTTATAAAAGGTTGTAAATTTAATTCCTTACAGCTAATTTACACATTATATCCTTGATGTTGACCTTGAATATATTTTGTTTTTATGATTTTCTTAAATTCATACATTCATACATTTTGGAATAAAATGTGTTTTAAGTTGCAAGGTATGGAGGCTATGAAACTGTAACATGTATGTTGAGTTTCAGTGTTTATTTGCAGGGTCCATCCTCCTCAGTGTTAAGCTTACTCACCAGGCAGGTAAGAACATATTTATTATAGTAATTAGAGGTGAAAGAAGTGCTCACATCCTTTATTTAAATACCAATGCAACAATGTAAAAATACATTGCAAATAAAAGTCCTGCATTACAACTCCTACTTGAGTAAAAGTACAAAAATATTATGCATAAATGTAGTTAAAGGGAGAGTTCACCCCAAAATCAAAAACACATATTTTTCCTCTTACCTGTATTATTGTTGATTAGTCGAGATCCTTTTGGCGAGAGTTGCAGAGTGTTGGAGATATTGCCCTTTTATGGCCGACGTCACAATGACGTCATTTTATTCGCTGGAGGCAAAACAGGGCTATCCACCACAGGGCTGTAGGCTACATAGGAGTCTTAAAATGTGGTCTTGTTGTGTTATTGGGAGCCAGAATAGAAGGAGTCATGGCTCAAACTTAAATTTGATCACATATCAGCTGCCACTGCCCGTCAACAAAAACAAAGACGACTATGGTTAAATGCGATAAGACGGAAAGGACTGGACGGAGGCGATTATCAAAAATGCTCACATGTGCAGCTCACACTTCATATCAGGTTAGGGAATAAGTATGTACTGTTGTAGGGTTGATGAATAACGTTATGTGTATTAAGAAATTGGGAGAGGTATTAAGAGGAATATTGGATTACTCTGTAATGTTCACCTGCTCACACTGCGATGTCACACAGCTGGTTCAAAATCAGCATATCACTGTTTCATTTTTCCAACAAATATGATAATATTTCTTCAGGGAGTGCAGTTAGTTACAGATGTGCTTCATGCTTACTCTGACAGCTTGTTGGACCATCACAAAGAGGCAGGGCTTAGCGAAAGGTCAACTATGGATGCATGCGTGCACTACATTCATCATCATCATTAGATTGATAATCCTAATTCACTAATGTATCATGAGACGATTAATGGCTGAGGAAAGAAATTTCTGTTCCACATTATTTATTTATTTGTGAAATACTTCCACCTCTCTGGGCCTTGAACAGTTTCTGTATTCAGGATATCTACAGGTCTTGAAAAGTTTTTTTGCTGGGTAAAAAAAGGCATTTCAAGACCACTGCAAACATGTACTTGCTCATCAAATCTTTGTCACTGTGTTAACTCTCCAGTTAACGTGGCTCTGGGTGGATTGGCTGCTCAGTCTTCATTGTGGGACCCCTTGTATCTACCAAGCTTGGTGATTGATGGCAAACCTGAATCATGGTATTTAAGTGGGAGCTGTGTTTCCACTCTGATTGAGGACGACCCCTGGTGGAGAGTGGACATTGGGGAACCATATGACATCTCGACAGTTGTAGTGATCGGAAGATCAGATTGCTGCATTGATATGCTAGATGGGGCTGAAATCCGCATTGGTAACTCGCTGGAGAACAACAGCAACAACAATCCCAGGTGATGTGATCAGTTAAACCAGCCTGATAATCAGACTGGATTACCATTTTGTTTTCACCACAGGATTCACAGGTTGGGTACTTGTCAGTATTACCCTAACCAATCCAGTTGGCAGGAGCTGTTTTTTCACATTCATTGAAGTATTACGCTGTTTTAAGGCTTTCATCTTCTGGAGGAATAGGTTTGTCTTTCCTCCCATACTATCTGTCTGTTTTCCTGTCCTCGTCTCTTCCCTCAGATGTGCAGTCAACACTTTGACCAGTGACCATATCATGAACTTCCACTGCAACCAGATGAGAGGACGCTACATCAACGTGTTCCTCCCTGGAGTAAACAGGAGGCTTCAGCTTTGTGAGGTCAAAGTGTATGCCACTAACCACCTTACAGGGGGTAATGCAACACTGAATGATGGCAGCTAAGGTTGATTAAATTATGTGCTGAACATAATGTAGTAGAATGTGACGCATTAACTGGAGGCCGACATAATTGTCTTTTATGCCTGGCACACACTACACGATATCAGCCCGATTATAGCCCGACGCAGCGTCGTACGGTGTCGGCTCAGATTGTGAACGACAATGACTGTCGTACGCGATAACCTATTGTTTCATCTTGTGTAGTGTGTCATAGTAAACGACAACTAACGTCACGTCTGGGACGCCTCGCGATGCTCCAGCAGAAAGTCTAGCATGTTTGAATTTCTTTTTGTCGTTAACTACGGCTCCTGTCACAGCCGTCACTTTGACCAGTAGAAACACAGGGCAATCTGCTGCCATAGACAACTGTACGACAACAACACCCCAGGCTGTTTGATATTTCCTCTAGGGACGTTACCACACAGAGTAAAAAGGGAAAAGTGATGGCGTCAAACAGCAGAGGCACTTTGTCAACCTTTGTGAGTGTCACTTTGTGAGTGCTGTCATTAGCATCAAGCTAGCAAACAATGTTATTTCTTCATAATGGAGACGGACATAAAGTAAGAAAATTAGAAAACACTGGCTTTTACTCACCACAACTGCAGAGGCTACCAGCTGCATTTGAAACAGACTACAGTATAAACAGGGCGTTATTTATTAATCCCTCTGTATTTTTATATTTTTGCTTTTTATCTGCTCCTGTTTGTCTTGATAAAGTTAATACATTGCACCGTCATTTTAAACTCAACACTTCCTGTATCTGTTTCAAATTAAAAGCCCCTTATAACTACAGTTGAGAGAATCCCTTCATTTTCTAAACAGGCTTTTATTGTGAAACATTTGCAGGAACTTGTTGTGGAGGATTCAGTGACTTGCATGTTTGCGTACGGTGCTTCAAATGTAGCTCCTGTCATCTGGTGATGCTTTTTACGTTACTACAACAACATTTCAGCTGGCACATGAACAGACACAGTGACTGAAATAATAGTAATAATAATAAAAATAGGACAAGAATAACCTGATGACATCACACACGACACAAAAGACGACTGGGGATAATTGGTGTGGACCATTGTGTAGTCTGTCATGTCTGTTGGCCAAGTCATGGCACGATTTTATGACTCCACAATCATTTGATCTGGTTACAATGCAGTGTTTTGCTGGGAAACTTTGTGTTCTGACATTCATGTGGATGCTCCACCCACCTAAACACCAGTGCAGACCAGGTACCCCCCTCATGGCAACAGCACCCCCCAGTAGCAGTGGCCCCTGGCAGGACAGTGCACCATGCCACAACACAAAAACTGCACAGGAATGGCCTAAGGAATGTGACAAAAAGCTTAAAGCCTTGACCTGACCTCCAAATTCCCCAGATCCCAGTCTGATCAAACATCTGTGGGACGTGCTGGTAGCCCACCTTACAACCAACAGGACTCAAAAGATCTGAAACTAACACCCTGTTGCCAGACACTATAAGACACCACCTAGAGGTCCTGCGATCATGCCTTGACAGATCAGAGCCAGGTCCGGTCCAAGGAGAACCCACCATGGATTGGGGGTACGTCTGGGATACCGGCACATCCCTCAAATGTTCGATCAGATTGGCATCTGGGGTATCTGGAGACCAGGTCAACACCTTGAGCTCTCTGTCCTATTCCTGAGCAGTTTCTGTGGCGTGACACGGTGCACTGTCCTGCTGGGGGGAACTGCCATCGACAAGTGCTGTTGCCATGAGATGGTTTACTTGGTCTGCAACGATGTTCGGGTGGGTGGAACATGTCAAGTAGCATCAACATGAATGCCAGAACCCAAGGTTTCCCAGCAGAACATTGCACTGTAGCAAGATGATCAATGTTAATCACTTTACCCGCCAGTGGTTTTAATGTTTTGGCTGACTGGTGAATGTCATCCAAGAGAGGCAATAAAAACGAATGGAATGATCAGAGTAGTCACATTAAAATTTAAGGTGTGTTGATTTACGTCATGAACTCATGCATTGAGTAACATCCAAGAAAACATTCCACCTTGAAAGTTGCCTGTAGCTGCTGGCGGTAGCCTTTGAGGGGCACAGTTAATTCAATGATTTCTTTCTCAGTCAATAGCTGCTAACTGTTAACTAGTAAAGATGAAGAGGCAGCAAAACATCCTTTCATTTTATAGTCGACAGTGCTAACCACTGGGATGTGACAAGGTTTCCCAACTACACTGATATTTTTGTAAAGGGTCACCGTAGAAGTATTAGGCACTGCAAAATGGAAATACTCAAGTAAAGTACCTCAGAGATGTGCTTACTTACTTTCCACCGCTGATGAACAAATGTAAATGCAGGCGAGATTGAACAACACACTGTAGGGTAACAGGCATCTTATTAATTTGTTTGTTTGAATTATTTGGTTTTAATGAACAATTAAAGACAGACAGTCAATAATCAATCTGCCATATGTAGTGTTTTTGTTGTAAAATTGATTTTCTTTCATTTTAAAGCATTTTAAAGCTTCTCATTAAGAGCTCTCCTTTGTAGATGTTTTACATGTTTTGCATTGCAAATACTGATCTTTGTCACTGCGCTCACTCTCCAGCTGACGTGGCTCGGGGAGGAGTGGCTGCGCAGTCTTCATTTTGGGACAACTGGCATCCATCGAACGTGGCGATTGATGGCAGCCCTAGTACAAACTACTGGCACGGGAGCTGTGTTTCCACTAGGACACAGTGGGAGCCCTGGTGGAGATTGGACCTGCATGGTCCTTATGACATCTCAACAGTTGTAATCATCCGAAGAACAGATTGCTGTGGTCACTATCTAAATGGGGCTGAAATCCGCATTGGTAACTCACTGGAGAACAATGGAAACAACAATCCCAGGTGATGAAATTGATTCAAATTGCCTGATAATCAGACTGGATTACCATTTGGTTTTCACCAAATTCTTCACACATTGTGTTCATATTAGATATTTTCAGTATGGGAAGGGGCGAGGGGCTGCTTTGTTTTGTTTTGCACTAACCAGTCAGAAGCAGGTCAGTCCTATCAAAATCATTTTCAGCTGATGTGGCTGTAGTAGCGATTGTGAAGAGCTTTGTAGCCTCAGAGATGGGCAGTATTTCCATTAAATGTATTTAACAAATGTTTTTTGATTCAATTTTAGGCTACTTCTGAGTATTTTGTAATTTGTATTTGCAGGACAGAAAAAAAAGATGTAATTTGAAACTTAATTTAATGAGAGCTTGTATTTGTGCATTTGAAATTCCTAAAGTACTGTAAAACCTCAATCAGTAGCCCAGGCTATTATTTGTTTAAATCACTCAAATCAACAGGCCTGTATTTGGGGCAGGCCTTTAATTCCTTTTACACAAAACTGTGTGATCGGGGCAATACAATCAAATTGTTTATTTAAACCCGTATGACTACTTGTTTGAAAATTAGGCTCTCAGATAATATATAAATTATGAATCATTCATTTGATCTAGCTCTGATAGACAGCGCATCAGAGAGGATTACGGCACCTGGCATACTGTCACACCACCACTTTATCATGTTAAAACAATACACACAACATGGATTAATTTTGTAAGAAAAACCCTTTTGATTCTTTTGATCTGAGGACCCTTACAGACTAAAGGAATATGAATAACTTACAGGGGGGCAACAACCTGGATTTATACATCTAAAGAACTTCTATAAAAAATAAACGAACTGCTTAGCAACAAGACCAGGCCTCTAATTGAGACAGGCCTTTATTTTCCGGAATGTGTAGCCACACCGAGCTAGTAAAAGGGAGTGGACGTTACATTGGGACTAGGCTTTTAAGTGTTAGGGTACATAATTTAAAGGTTCAGCATGTAGGATTTAGGGGTTTATATTGGCCGAAATTTAATGTAAATGAAAACAACAATTGTTACGGAGATTACACCACCATGTTTCTACAGTAGCCCAGAATGGACAAACCAAACATTGGCTCTAAATAGTGCCATTTTTTTTTTTTGCGTTTTTTGCATTTTGTTTTGTGCATTTTTGCATGTAGTTGGCAGACCCTTCGCTATAAGAACGTTGGAAAAAAGGGTTAGTTTTTAATGTAAAAGTGCTTTACCCAGTCCATTTGTTTTGGAGAGGACCCCAGTGAATAATTCGGCTTACGATAAAACTTCCTGAACATCTGGATCTAAAGTTATCAGCAAAAAAGGTGAGTGTGGCAGATTGAGTAGCAGTTGGTAGAGTGTGCAACGGCCGTGCGTCCTCCCCTCCTCTCCGCTCTACTGTTGGAAACCGCCCTCTGCCCGGTGGTATGTATATTTGAGTTCATATTACTATTGATTTCAGCGTAATTTCAAATGGGTAATGTTCGGTTTTTTTATGGTATTTACATTGCAGGCCCTTAAAGGCCAGGCTGTGCGCCACGGTGTAGTGCCTCCTGTTTTTTTGTAAGCCATCAGCCTCCACCTCCTGGCGCTTGCTGCTGTTCCGTCTCCAATGACTTTTGGATTTCGTTGAGTGCAGAGAGTGTCTATTCCGAGTCATTTATGACTGAATCGTTCTGATTGCACCAGACTTTTCAGAACTTCCCCTTTACAATATTACCTGGTGTCTTTTTTTTTGTCATTCTCCTCTCATTGACAAGTGGACTATATTTGGTAGCCACGTTCTAGTGGTTTCCTTTATACCCCGTGCTGTTTTGTTTATTTGATTTAATTTACAGTAAGCAGGATTATGTCTTCTTTTGATTCTTTATCCCTTTCTCCTGTTTTGTTTTGAGGTTTGTTTGTTTTCTGGGGGGGTGGTCAAATTACAAGCTACTCATATGCATGTCTTCCAACTCTTGGGGTGTGTGAGTGTGTTTTATGGAGTGTGTATGAGACTGTTGACTTGAAGTAACTGTGTGTTTCTCTGTTGCCAGGAGCAGCGGGGTGCAAGCCGGTGGCAGGCGGACCTCTTGGTGGTGGTGTCCTCCCTCACTCACCCCAATTTACCCAAACAATATACCCCAGAAACTAAACAATGATAACCAA